AGTGTGTGTGTGTGTGTGTGTGAGTGAGTTCTTACAGCTTCAGCTGTTGTTTGGTGTGTTTGGTGTGTTTGGTGTGTTTGGTGTGTAAAGTCACTCCAGAAATGCTGTCCTCAATTCCATTTCAGGTGTTCTTGAGCAACAGTACAACAGGCTGTGATCAGAGAGGCTTGATGCAGATATTCTCATTAGGCTTGCTCCAGGACTGCACAGTCTCAGACTAACTAAAACTAAAACTAAAACAAAGTTAAGCCACGTTCATGCAAGCGTCTTAAATGCCCACGTTTAACAAATCCAGATTAGGCTTACTCCTGTCTTAATCTAAGCCTCGTCTGCAAAACTGGCCTAAAACRTAACGTATACGTCCATCTTTGCATTCCAGAGGGAGTAGTGCTAGTAATATTCTCTATATATAATACTGAGGATGAGTGATGAAGAAACAGAAACAAAAAACTCAAGTGTCTTTCCGTTGCCGACAATCAACGGTTTAAAAAAAGCCCTATTTTCAGTATTCAGAACAGTCAAGAATATKGAAAAAACCTGCTTCTTTAAAGTAACTGGCAGTGGTTGGATATACATTCAGAAATTTCAAAGACCTGTTGGACACATATGTTAATTAGGTCAATTTAACAGATTAAAACAAAACAAGTAAGAAACAAGAAGTTGTTTGTTTCAGTTTTCTACTGATTAAATCTGTCTCTGCCCACAGCTGCTTTGGAAATCCACACCAGTGGATATTTCTTTTGAGAAACTTTCTGTTTGACCACATGTCTTCATCTGTAACATTCTCCTTCATCTTACTGCCTCCTCCAGCGGTTTTTGGGTTTCTCCTCACACTCCGGGCCCTCGCAGGTGTCAGGCAGAGAGTTCAGGGGTGTCGGTCCGGCCTTTACCGTGCTGCTGCTGACGGTGTTGAGCAGAGCCGGAAGCTCGTGTGAGATGACCCTCTCCATCTTTTCCAGCAGGCAGCCGCCGGTCCAGCTGCAGAGCTGGGAGAGCTGCTTGAAGCTGGACACTGGGTTGACTCCAAAGAAGTCCTTGTAGGCCTCCTTGTCGGGGAGGTCAAACTTGCTGACATTAGTCTTCGCCAGGATGGACTTGAAGATGTAGTACTTATCAGGGTCATTCACGATGTCTTGGAAAACTTCGTGGGGGTCTCCAAACCAGCCCAGCTTGCTGTGGTAAGTCTGAAGGTACCGATCCACCAGTAGGGCATGGATGCGCACACGGATAGCATGCTGGCGGGTGAAGGCAATTTTGTTCTCTATCTGGTTCTCGATCACCTGCAGGGACAGAGGTGGATTTGAGCGAAACAAAAGAATGAAACAATTGCAAAAAAACTGAGGTGTAAAAACCGGGTCTTCTCGGTTTCTGTAAACTGCTGCTGCTCCTGAAGAGAGAAACTCTGAAACAGGCTGGTTGAACAGCAAGAAWCTTTATTTTGCAGTCCAGGAGATTTACAGCCAAAAACCCAATTGTGGCCTTCTAAGCCAAATGATTCACCAGGTAAAAAGATGAAGACGAAAGCGAAGAGTAGGGGCGTACAAGCCTTTTTAAAGGTTTCACAGTGCAGTCCAACAGATGCACCATAAATTTTGTCATGGTATATCTTAAGCATCCTTCCATCCATCCATTTTCTGTACACACTTCTTCCTTTTCAGGGTTGCGTGGGTCACTGGTGCCCATATCCAGCAGTCACAGTGCGAGGGGCGG